CCTTATCCTTATCTTTATTCTTATTCTTATTTTGTTTTGAAAATAAGAATTTCAAAATAATTAATTTTAAATTAATATTATTCTTTCAATTTAATAAATAATTTAATTCTGATTTTATAATTAGAAAATCCATTTAATTCTATTTCTAAATTAATATAAACTTTTCGAAAAATATTCATATTTATTGTATTTCAAGATACTGATTATATTAGATTTTATAGATGATTATTACCCCCCTCATAGAAAGTGGTTATTATTAATAGTGATCACCTATTATTCCTTCGGAATAATAGTTAGACTAATTAGTTCTCTCCATTCAACAATATCCAACCCAACTTGAACGCCTTCCTTCCGACATTATTCCCTCTCCTAGGTTTCTGACATCGAAGAAGAGAAGTAGAAAATAAATGAAAATAAACATAAAAATGAGAAAGTAGATTGACAAGCTTGTATAATAAGCATACCGACTGGCATCAGTTTCAAAAAAGCCTTCCCGTCTCCCCTGCCCCAAAGTTCCTCCCCACAAGTCTTCTTTGAATTTCCTCCTTTGCGTCCTTATTTATTCCCATCCCCTACATACTATCATTATTACCCATGTACCCATCTGTCCTCTCAATGACCATTAGCCCCATTGGTCTTCCCATTAACCTTTGCAACCTGTACACTACCATCCCCACTCTCCTGCGGAACCGGCCCCAAACGTCCAAACTGCCACTCCGGCATCGTCATACCCGTCTGATCATGAATGGTCGACATGAGTGGCGGAAGCATCTGATACATATTACGAATACTATCCATACCCCCCATACCAACCTGCTGTGCCTCTCCAGCACCAGCAGCAGCACTCGCAGCCCCATTACCACCAGCCTGCGCCCCCGTATTCCAAATCGTCATTTTTGGGTTCATACCGCGAACGGCATCAGCGTTGGCAGTAGCAAGATCCGTGTAGACACCACGCTCGATCATCAGGTATTGCATGAGGCCTTGAGGACCGCCCATCGCTTTACTCATATCTCCATATGCCACCGCCATGGCACTCATACCCGCTGCTTCTTTCTGTTGTCTCAGAAGTGCAGCTTCGGCTTCCCTAGAGTCCACGACGAATTTCGCTTCGGCTTCTACTCTCATCTTGTACGCCTTGGCATCGGCCGCCTTTTGCTCGCTAAAGAATTCGAAATTCGCACGGGCCTTCTCCTTATATGCTTTTGCATCCGCGGCTTTTTGCTCAGTGTTGGCCATTGCATCGGCCGCCTTTTGCTGGCTATAGAACTGGGCATTTGAGCGGGCCTGTTCCTCATAGTTCATGGCGTCGGCAGCTTGCTGCTGGGCCTCACGAAGAATCGTGGCCTTGACGACATCGGAGGCACGGAGACGCTCAAGCTCGGTTTCGGCGCGCTTGATTTCGACGTCTCGGCGAAGTTCTTCGTCGCGAACTTCCGTGGCACGCGTGGCCTCTATAAAGAACCGATCGTGTCAGTCTTCTGCAATTGAACCGAAAGTCTTTCCTCGCACAGAGTCTGGATTTCTTTATCTTCTGTAAGACCTGCTGGTCTAGACCACCGAGTTCTCTTTCCTTCTGGAAGATCTGCGTATCAAGATGAAGAAGCTGTGCTTCCTTGATGACCTCAGATATCTCGTTGGGTAGGAGCTGGGCATCAGTCTCATCTTTAAGATCCAGGGTCCCGAAAGTCTTGGGAATCACTTCAGGATTCGAAGTTGATAACAAAGGGAATCTGAAAGGCCAAAGATTGTTTAATTGCTTACCTATTTGAGCAACGCTGACGTCACGGTCGTAACCTGCTTTGCGGGTTGCAAGCGTAGCTTCTGCTCGAGCCCTCTCGCTATCACGTTCTGTCAATTGGACGGCAGTCTCGGCATTAATCTTGGCGAGTTCTCGGTCCCGAAGTCCTTCACGTTGAGATTGTCCGACGGATCCCAAGCGTTGAGCTTCTGCTACATCAATACGGGCCTGGTTGAAAGCACCCTCGTGGGCTTTCTTGCTGAGAGATTCGAAGTAGTTGGATTTCGGGGCATCTTTGAGTTCTTTGACGTTGGCGTTGTAGATTTTAAGGCCAAATTGGCTCAACTCGGATTGGATGTTCTTGAAGATATCCTTTTTGAAAGACTCTCTCTCGGTGAATATCTTTTCCATTGACATTGAGCTGACGAGAACACGAGTTTCACCCTCGATGATACCGACTACGATATTTCTGAGATGAGCATCAGATCCAGTTTTGTCCTTGGTCTCAGCCAACAACATTGAGAATTTCAAAAGAGCATCCTCAGTGATATCTTCTGCGTCGTTGTCGCTTATGGCATCATCGCGTTTTTGATTGACATCAGGACCGATTGTGAATACAACTGGAATATTCAACTGGAGTTTCTCCTTTGTCATAGCTTGAAGTGATAACTCATAGTCCCGAGGCTGAATGCTAAATCTTTGGACCTGTAAAACATCAGTAGTGTGATAAGAGAAGAGAGATGAAAACTCACCTTTTGAAGCGGCCACACGAAAGCACTCTTGCATATTTTGACCGTTTTGATGCCTGCGCCAGTAATGGCGAGGTACTAATAGAGTTAGAGATGTGCCTTCAAGTGTACTAGGAACTTGTTCAAACCTCGTTAGGGGAAGCAATTTTATAAATCATTTTGTTTGTTGAAAGATTCTTCAACTTGTTTGTTTAAAGACTATCCAAACAAGAACTTGTGGGATATTGGCAGACTTTATAGACTTTGAAGGGTATGAAATCTGACCTCCTATGATGCGTTAATCAAGCGGCAAACGTACCGGACCTGTGGATGTATCACCTGATATCACCTAGTATCCAGCTAACCACCAACTATCAACAGTCATAAAAGTTTACTAGTGCTTCTGCAAAACTTTTGCCAGGTCTCCAACATTTCAAGTGCGTCAGTAGCGGAACTCTCAGTGAATCGTAACAACTCGTGACTCAACAACAAGAAGTCCAAGAAAATAGAAGGCATACCGATTACAACTAGTCTCTTAAACTGGCAGAACTAGACCGTAATGGGGTTAAGATCGAAGTGTAGTAGGTCACCTGATTGTAGTTAAGCTTTCTTGGGAGTAATAGCGTTTAAACAGCGTATGTACTAACTTAGTAATTTGAGAATTAAATGATGCTCCGATATTGAAGTACCGGAAGAAAGTAAAACAGCAAAACGTGTTACCTATTATATATTTATGAATGCTGGAGAGGCTGAGATGGCTTTTACTCATAACACATGTTTGAGGCATGGTCAATAAGTTTGCCGAGTATTTCTAACTCAAACAAAGCCAGAAATGTTGCGCCAATATGTCAAATGGCTTGGGTGATGGGCGATCACGGCATAAGATTCATCGAACGTGGAGGGCATTTTAAATGTCAGACGCTTACTTTGATCTAATAGTAATTCTGATATCGATGCACTGCCGCCATTCCGACCCGTGTAGAGTAAGAAATCGGCTGTTTCTCCCCGATCGAAACCTCTGAACATTTGAATCATTCCTTGGAACTGGAAACATAAGTAGAATAATTGACAATCAAGTTACATTGATTCTTTGATGGATTGAGAAGTATTGTATTGTTTGGTAGAAGAACAAATAAACTCTGCGAAATCGGCAAAGGGCAAAGACACCGGCTTATTTCGGCCAGGATATTGACACTTGCTTGGCGAGAACCGGCCAAGATACCCAGCATTTCCAGCCTCATGACAAGCCGTTAAAATAGACGATCTATACCCCAGATTCTACTAGCGAGCCTCTAAAGTCTCACCTGATCGCTGCTTCACTCAGCCATCGTCATATCTCACCTATGATTTATCGTAAAATTGTCTATTAAATCCTTGACCTAGGCAGACGAGGCAGACAACTTTAAATGTTTATCTCCTATGTATTAGACGGATTAACGCATTGTTTCATTGTACATGTTACACTGCATAGTAAAATATCCGATTAACCGAGCCAAGAAGCAATTCATAGAACTTCAAATCATTAATTATATCAAAACATAAACATTTGAAGAACTGCATCACCGAATATAATAAATAGACTTTCTCTAGTGAGTCCGGTCTCGTGACTATTGAGCCACTAAAATTTACTACTGGCGCTACTTCGATGACCGAATCGTTAGCTCCTCTCCGAACTTCAGTAATCTCAGTAACCTTAGGTAGTCAGTCACCTCAGTCACCTCAAACATTTCTTATCCTTGCTGTCAACCATTGCTCCTCTCCGGACTTCAGTAACCTCACTCGCCTCAAACATTTTATTTCACAACCTTGCCGTCAACCATCACATCAAATCATGAAATCCAAACTTCCCACCTACGCCAATAACGATGAACCAGCTCCTCCATCGTACACCGAATCCTTCTCATCATCCTATTCCTCTCCCGCAACATCCAAAATATCGATACCCGTTTCCTCTCCATCCAGCTCCAGCACCTACGGCATCCAAGCCCAAATCCAAACCCAGCTCTCCCACCTCAGCACCCAATACCACACATACCAAACCCAAAAGACGCTCCTCGCACACGCCCACGAACAGAAAATCCTCTCTCTACTCACCGACCAAATCCAAATCTACCTCTCCGAATTTGCGACTACTGGGTTGCGAAAAGGTACTTTGATAATGATACCAGCGCATTGTCTTGCGAATGAAAACGCAACACCGCTTGAGTTTGGTGGGGAGGATACCGGTGTTAGTGCATATGACGTATTTGTGGAAGTGGGTGATACGGATAAAGAAAGTCTTGAAGTTAATGGCGGGGTGTGGTATTGGGAAGATGAGGATATGGCGGAGCGGTTGGCCGGGTCTTTGAATTCGTTTGCCGAATTACCATCCAGGCAAGCCGTTGCACAACAAAATACCGTTGCTGTTCAAGGAAGCGGTAGCAGTAGCAGCAGGTTTTGGATAAAGAAGAACTGTTCGAAGAATGTTGAGAATGTGAAGATTAATGAAGTTGTGGCGGAGTGGAAAGATCAGGTGTTGATGGATGTGAAGGCCGAGGAAGTGGTTTTTGAATATGAGAATAGCTTTGGTCTTTTGGAGACTCAGAGGGGATATGGTGTTGTACTTCATTTGGAGATAGTTACGAGGAGGTGGTAGATTTACAGTTTATATAATCATAATGTTAAGAGATTTTCTCAAGGGACGTCTTCAATCTCCAGGTTCTCAATTAACAACATCTCCATAGGCTTCATCATCGCTACCATACCCCATCGTTTACATCCTCCAAACAAAAAGATCGCTTTGATAGATATAGACAGCCCACAAGTTTTGTTCCACATCATAACAAGTTCCCATCCTGTATCAATTGAGAAATCTTACTCAAAGTAGTGGTGCGCGCCAGCTAGCCATCCCTACGGGCACCTCAGGAGGGTAACTTACCCACCAGTGGGTTATTATTGCATTAAACCATGTATTGAAGTACAATGAGATATATTGAGATCTTGTATCGAGATCTCAAATTATGGTTTAAGTTTAATATTAGGCTGCGCAGAAATACTCCGCTACCCGTGGGGACCCGCAGATACTCCGCCCCGCGGGGGACCACCCGTTGATGATATTTTAGACCCGCGGGGGACCCGTTGAGCTTTCAAAATTATCCGCCCCGCAAATACTCCGCAAATACTCCGCAAATACTCTGCAAATTTATTAATTTTTATAATATTAACGTAATTAATATAAAGATTAATATAAAAACTAATATATTTTTATAATTATACTT